CAGGGGGCTATAAGTGGCGACACGTAAACTTTCGACCTCGTCGCCTGACGAAGACTGGCTGAATAGCAGTCGAAACGTCACGATCGATGCAATTGATAGCGTGGCTCTACGTTATCTTTAACAGTCATGAAACTCTGGAAATATCAAGATATCGCCTACTCTTGAGTAAAGTGTACTCTTTCTCCAATTCGTCTGTGAACGGACCTTCTTTTTCAGAAGCTGAAATTCGGAAACCAAATACGTATGCAATACTGAGTGTCTAACTCGCCCAACCGCTTTTTTTTATAGTCCGTGGATCATTTTGAACTAATTAAGGTGAATGGTTATCTTCAAAGATTAATCTCAGGTCTGTCTTTGAACTCAGGGTCGGCATTTATACACGCTATTCTGCAGAAAGGATTTGACGAACGTCATGCTTATATCGGAGGCATGTTTGGCGCGGGTGAGTTTTTCCTTTTTTAGCTACGTTTGGTTCTGTTCAGTAAACTTGCGCTTTGCCGCAACCAATCAGATGGAAGACTAAAAGCAATCGTGGCTTGGTTATCTGCGTTTTTGTGCGCTCGATGTCGTTCACTCGTTTTTACCTTTAGATCTCATTGGTTCCTAGTGATATTTAACAACTATTCACTGAAGTAGAGGTGGTTGGAGGTAGATATTTGTCATGCGGCGAGGTAAATATTCATCGCTAGCCACCGACACTGAAGTGAATAGTTGTTTAATAAACTAAAACAGTAAGATAATATAGTGCAAAAAGATTATTTTAACTCGTTTATTCCTGCAATTATGACAATATTTTTGGGAGCAAATTCCACTCAAGTTGTTCAGAGGTTACTTGCAGAGGACATAGTCAATCAGAGCACGCCCTCAACGCTAGCCACAGTTTTAGTATATACTGATGAGATTTCTTCTGGTTGCCGTTGTCATTTTCAGTTCGTTCTGGTGTGGTTACATTCAATCGAGTTGTCATCTAATTGGTTCGTTTGGAATAGTGTCGTCATCAGGACTGGATAGACGATTCCTTAAACCAAATGAACTTGAACTAGACCTTTTACTTTAGTTAATGATGCATCTGTTTTTGTATCATTCTCTTTCTATTTAGGTATTTACTTTGCGGAAAATTCTTCCAAAAGCAACCAGTATGTATATGGTATTGGTGGAGGATCAGGCTGTGCTCTCCACAAGGACAAATCTTGTTACCTATGCGAAAGGTAACGACGAACTGCGAATTTTTCTTACAGCTCTCGATAGGAGTAAACAACGTTGAATACATATATTTTGTTTTGGAACAATAGATCGTGTGTATGTTCCCTTTAGTTGTAGTTTCTTATGAGGAAAAATTTGAGCGCTGACAACTCTTTTCGCGAGCGTTGTTGTTCAAAACTTTTACGGATGTACGCCATGTTTTTCGCCTTGAGGTTATTTTGTCAGCGTGTTAGTGGGGAAGTGAACCGTTTATGTGATCGAAAGTCGTTTTTCTTAAGACCGTTTTAACATCTGGAGGTGGATTAACAGTTACCATATATTGAGTTGTGCACAATTTGCCTTAACAGGAAGGTGTTGACAAAATATAGTTTGATACGGTAAAAGAACACAAAGCGAAAACAATTAACTAAGAGGGAACGAGGGTGATCAACCGTGGAGGCGATTGCCCCGGATTGGAAATGGAAATCTCGACAGCCATAATATTCCTCGATGGTTAAACCATGACTTAGTCCCTAAATTCGTTACACCCTAACATCAGTTTGCAAGTCCTCCGTACTGTTCTCTGTACGTTTCCTATGTTGCTTACTAGGAGAATTTGCTTAATAATCAAGAGCTTCTTGACCCCGCGATCATTTCTTTTATATTCATGACCAGAATATTTGATTCAGGGGTGATACTATTGTACGAAATTAGATGCTTAAAGGAGTTAAGGCAACGTCCGGCCGGCGGTCCAAAGAAAAACAACATTGTCACATGTGATTTTCATGTATATCTGAATCATCAGGCAGTTGCTGCTATGTCGTGTGGCTCTTGGTAAGCCATTCTACCAGTTCTCTGCCGTCAAGATGGCGCATGCACCTCCAGGGCATCACTCAGTGATCGGTCGTCCGAGCTCGGAGGGACTCTCGTTCGCAGAATATGTTGTATACAGAGGAGAACAGGTACACAAGCATTGTTTGCACCATCCATTCCCGATGGCAAATAGTAATAGCCGATCTATAAAATACTGTCATATTATCAACCGGCGGTGGAGCATGGGAACAGGGTGTGTAGGCCCCCCCTCTCCCCCTCCATACCCCTTAAACGAATTTTTTAGAGGAATTGTTCCCCTCTCCCAGTTCTGGTGCCCAAAAATACCACAATCGCTGGCTAAAATTGGTTTGAGAAATGTTTCACTTATCATAAGTCCCATCGTCAGGATTGCGTTTTACTAAATTATGGGTTGTAGAAAGTTTTTTCTTTAACAGCTCCTGCCATTGTGCCTGTGTGCACCGGCCAAATATTCAAATGACGTTTTGTGAAAGGGGTATCCGCTTGTCTCGGGGAACTACGACCTTTCCCCTTCCCTCCACGTTCATAACGCTTCGTTGCCTCTACTCTTTCATATGCAGGTGTGGGTGCCCTTTGATATGATGCTGTTTCTTTCAGAGTCTTCAGCTTAGTGTGGGGGTGTCTGTGTGTGACGTTTGTGTGATTAAGAGACCTTTAGAGAATCAATAATATTTGTACCGGCAGAGTGGAATTTGGTTTCCTAAGTATTTTGGCTAATGTTAGCACTGCTGTGATCCACTACATTTATATCCTTGTGTAGTTGCACTCTGGTTACAATTTGTTTACACGCCTAACAACATTTTTGTTATTATCGTCACTGTAGGCTTATCCAGAATACCTGATCACTTATAAGATCGTCAAATCCTCGGGTGCGGAAGGTGGCAGTTCTCCTGAATGAATTCATCCTGTAAATAATTCCCGTTCATCTTACATTGTACTGGAAGTAGGTCGACAGCTATTGTGGTGATGAAAGAGATGAAGAAAAGCGTGGGCTATTCGCCCTCCAGAAGAAAATGTCCACTGTGATTTAATCAAAGTTGTAAGTTAATCAGAAATTTTTACATAAATTTCCCATAAAAACGAACGACGTGATATTAAAGACGTTCCTTAGTGCATTTTTGTAAATAAAACGAGTTTTTTTCGCGATGTATTGACGCTGTATTGACAGGCTGTTGTGTATCGACGTTTTGAAGATCGATCTTCAGTGCATTCATTGAATAACTCCTCGCGATTTTCACATTTAAAGGAGAGAACTGCATGATTTTGCGCTTTGTGAAAGCCAGTGATCAACAGCTGGAATTTGCAAATCGCGATACACTCGAGTAAAAATGTGAACAATTTCTCAAAGTTTCTCAGTAGATAATTAACAAGTACGAGTGACACTGAGCTGTTCAGATTGTTGTAAGTTAAAATGCAGCTGTAGGACTAGCATCAATGACTAAAAAATATTGTAAATATTTAAGATATGTTAATAAAAGAGCAATTTTTGTGTGAGTGCTGAAAGTAAGAAGGAATTTCTCTGCTTTTGTTTTAGCATGTTACATGATTTGCTACAAAACTACCGCTTCAGATTTTTAACACTCTATCAATCGTGACCTGTTTCAACCTGCTCTCACGACCTGATTATTTAACCTGATAATTCCCCCCCTTAACTCTCTCTCTCTCTGTTCTTTTTTTTTTTTTTTTTTTTTTTTTTTTTTTTTTTTTTTTTTCTTCTTCAGATTTTTAGTATGGACCTTCCCTGTTTTCATAATGATTGTAAATTTTAAAACAGACTTTTAACACTCGTAGCATCCCCATTTTAATTTTGTATTTGGAATGTTCTTTTATTGTTCACAATTAGCTTCTATATAGCTTAATACTTTGACACTTAAATGGAGTTCATTCATTAGTTAACGAACCGGGGTTAAACTGGCCAATCACAAATGACATCATACAAAGGTGACCAATCAAATGGCGCGAAACCGAAGTATCGTCTGACAAGTAACTTGTTTAATGATGAATTCCACTTAGATTGTCGAAACGTCAGACACTGGGTTTTAGGACTTCCCCCTCTCTTACAGGACCACTCGGTCAACTTTTCATTTAGGATTCAAAACGTTTACTTTAATTAACCATTTATGTGACTGCTATGTGATTGGTTTAAAGATTCTTCGCTCCGTGACAAATTTATTGCAGTGCCTCGCAATTTTTTATTTTTATTTTTTAATTGCCACCAAAGAACTACTAGTACTATACATATAAGCTTGAATAGAAATGGTGAAGGAGCTCAAAGAAACCGAGAGGCTTATGAAATAAGGACTTCCTTATCACTCACTAAAATGGGCCAAACAAGAACAAAAGAAAGCAAATCAATAAAAGGAAAAAAAAGGGAATTAAAGGAGAAGAGAATCTAAGAAAGAGGGTGTTTTTCAACTTGTTACAATGACCTTTTCATAAAGTCATGAAAACGATCTATCTACGAACTTTATACGTTTATCCCCAGCCATGAATTTCCTCATGCTCCTTAGTCGACAAGAGACCGAAATCATGTTCGGAACTCTCGGCAGAATCTACCAGGACCTCAGGATAGCTTCGTTCCCCTTCTCCTCGTTCACCTTTTATGTGTAACTTATTCTCTCTATCAGTCCCCTAGTAACTTCTACCGGCTATCAAACAGTTATAACCAAGGAACAAATCTGTAAACTAGGTCCGCCAACGTCTGGTAACTTAATATCTTGTTAGTTGTGACTATAAGAAGTGCGTAGTCAGTCTCAAGTGTCAGAAGATGATCACAAGTTAATTCTTGAGAGGAATTCTCTGCCCTTTGTTGAAATACTTAATTCACACATTCAGAAATTCCGTCTCTTTTCAGTATTTCCGATATGATCTTAACCCGCTTGAGGGCGTTGTGCGAAAGTACTGGGTATGAATAATTTAAAAAAACTCGCAAAAGACTGGATCGAGGTTAATAAAGGCGGCTATTTACAAAATGGCGAACAGTACAGACGTGTCAGAACCTTCGTATGTGATTGTAAATAAACAACTTCAAGATGTCATACGGCTCCAACACACAGCTGTGGCCCGGCTAAAAGCCAAGGTTAGAGGAACTGAGTCTTTTTTTAGATGTCGAGGAAAGACGATCTTGTGCCACGTGAAGAACATGAGAAGCTAATCATGGAACTTGAAGTTGTTGTTAATTTTTAAGTACTTTGTAAAACATTTTATAGCTATTTTTAAATATACTTAAGTATCCCTCTTATTTCTAGTCAATTTAGTTTATCGTATTGAAATAAAGGTTTCTTACTTACTTACTAACTTAGTGGACAGACCTTTGTGCGTACATTGTCAGGAATGTTGTAGAAAAATCAGCTTGCCGTAATTAGAAGGTTCTAAAATATTGTTATGCTCCTTTGTGGATGTTCTGTTAGATGTCGAGGAAAGACGATCGTGTGCCACGAGAGGAATATGAGAAGCTAATCAGGGAACTTGAGGTTGTTGTTGATTTTTTCTTAATTCTACTTTCATGATCGTGTAATTATTTTGTCGTTTGATAAAATTAAAGTATGAAATAAGACCCTGACAGTCAGTGCCCCACTCAAAGAATTCTTTTGCCAAGAGATTCTGAACTCCTAATAGAAGAAGGGTCATAAGGATTTGTGTCTTCTGACTTTGTTTGTTTAAGTCAAAGACATCTTGAGCTCAGAAAAGTCTTAATTGAGTGCAGAAAGTGCAGAAAGTAGTTTGAGACTGCTTAGGTTTTTCTTTACTTTACTTCGTGTTAGTCTTGACATTGGATGCAGCAACCAAATTTATTATGATTTGATCTTTTACAATTTCCAATGCTCTAGGCAATTCCATGTTTTGTTTAGTTTTCTATTGAAGGAGTGTACTGAATGAGGCATTTATTAGTTTTTGCTTCAACTTCTATGTCTCATTTTTTCTCAAGTGAATACATGGCACCTTGGAGAGAGAATCTGCTTGTCTATTAGAAGTACTCTTAAGAGCTTTCCTCAGTTCACTGTTAAATTGGCTCCTAGTGATGTTTTCCTTAAAGCTTATTGGTTGTGATTACTGTGGTTTGGTTTAAAACACTAGGTTGAAATGCACTTTATTTTGTTAACCTCTTAACTCCCAAGATCTGACTGTAATTTCTCCCCTCCAGCTGTTAGACATTACCTTGTAAATTAGTCATAAGAATTTGGTGTAGGCTCGAGATAACAACTTCTAATTGATAATTTTGAGTTCTCATCACCTGCTTTCTGGATAGAGTATGGATGTTATTGGGAGAAGTTACATATGAATCACTTTTGGGGTTAAAGGGTTAAGCAGAGTAATCATGAATTCAACTGATTAATTTTGAAATCCAAGGACTGAAAAAATTTGTTAACTTGACTGAGTTCTCTCAATTCTCTCCCTGAATACTTCTGAGAACAGAACCACATAAATTTTAATAGTAATTTGTTTTGCATTGTAACTTGTCTCATTTGTTTCACTGTCCATTCCATTTTATAGGAAGAAAAACTTGAGCACGTAAAGACAAAAGCAAAACTGGCTAGTGAGAGTGAAAGATTACAGTTTGCCTTAGGGGAAATAGACATTTTAAACAAACAGCTGCAGCGTGAAAAGTTATCATTTGAAAATGCGTATGTAGAAATTTCTACAAGATTGTTTTATGTTTTTTGTTGGTACTAATTATTATATGCCTGAATTTCCTATTTCACCTAAATCAATAAGAAATTATTCCCTTTTTACAAACTTTTATGTATAGGTTTGGCCAGGTTAAAAGTAAAGCCTTTGAGGAAACCCAAGAGAAAATGCAGTTTCAAACAAAGTGCCAAGGTTGGAATTATTTATCATAATTGAGACGAAAGACTCAATTCTCTCCTGGTTTATAGTTATTAATACTGATAGAGACCAAGCTCAATTTAAGATTGAGTTTATATTGTCAGAGGAAAAGGGTTTTCCTGAGTAGAAATGAGACATGATTATTTAGCAGTTAAAACTACTAGAAGTCACATTTCTCATTGAAATTTCTTAACTACTTTCGACAATTTTTCTCACTTTATTTCTGCCCATAAACAAAGTTATGCCACTTTCTTTAATTTGAATCCTTTTGCAGCTTTATGTCCTAATAGTTTATTGCTTTCTTGAATTACCTAGCAATGGAAGAGCTCTGTTCCAAACAAGATGATATTTTAACAACAAAAGATGCAAAAATAAAGGAACTCAAACTTCGCCTTGTTCGCCAGAAAGAGATTCATCAACAACAACTTTCTGACATGGACATTCATCGGCAACAAGAACAATACATTAATTATAATACACAAAAATCTCAAGACAAAGGCAAAAGAACTCGTCAGAAACGGGTATCTTTCAGATAACCCATAATTGTACACTATGGTGAGAATTATGATTACAAAAGTCATTATTTTTAATCCTTTGACCTTAAAGAGTGACTAGCATCTAATTTCTCCTTACAATATCACCCCTGAATCATACAATAAGAGCTCATGAAAATAAAGGAAATTATCACCAACTGAAGACGCTGTTGATTGTTAAAAACAATTCCCCCAATCATCACCTCAAGAAATGTATGGAGAACAGTAAGGAGAATATGCATGCTGATGTTAGGGTGTAAAGGGTTAATACTATTAATTATAATTCTATAGTTATTACTGCTGCCAACTATGTCCTTTGCAAGTACATAAGTAGCCTAGTGTGTGTCTATGTTCCTTTTTTTATATTTTAAAAGGAATTGCGTGGAAAGAGGGAGGCAAAAGAGATGGATTGTCACTGCCCTCTCATCCTATCCCCCCTACAAAACTATGTGGTCTGAAAGTAATATTTCTGTGTTGTATCAATAGCAACATTACTTACAAATATATTTTGTGTAGGTGTAATAGCTTTAGTGTTTTAAAATTTCAAGTCAGTATGTGGCACACAGTTGTAAAAAGATGGAGTGAACTAGCTAGAATGACTAGTAAATTTCCTGTTGCTTTTTATATTCCATGGCTGCTAAAATGTCTAAGCTAATATTAAATTGCAGAAATTGTAAAAAAGGCTACAGTTACCAAAAAAAATTTTATCTTGTTCAAAAGTAGGTACTGGAATAATATTTTCAATGAAGTAAATTGGCGAGAAAGTTCATTAAGCTTTTTTCTTTTAACCCCTCTTTAACCCCTAGGGGTGACTGGCATCTAATTTCTTCTCACAATATCACCACTGAATCACACATTAATATCATGAGAATAAAGGAAATGATCACCAATTAGAGAAACTATTGATTGTTAGACAAATTCTCCTTGTCAGCACCTTAGTAAATGTACAGAGGACTGTATGGAGAATATAAATACCGATGTGATGACGTAAATGGTTAAGCGATTGCTTCCCACATAGTTAAATACACCAATCAATTTGAAGCTTCAACATCCCCCCTTTACCTTAGGTAACCCACTGGGATCTAATTGTCATCCTTGCCTGTGGGGTGGGGAATTTGAACTGAAACTGTCAAGTCTTTCCAGTGAAATAAACATGTTTTATCTTTTAATATGGTGGTGTTTAAAAGTAAAAAGAAGAAAAGGTCTACAATAAATTGTTAAAGTCAGGGTCACTAATCTTGCCTTTTACAAAAACAGGATGTTATAACTTCAAATTTAATCAATGCATAACATACTAAAATTCTGCCTCCCCTTTACTAATAAGTTTCAATTTTATTTTTTTTTGTGTCCTTTTTAATTTTTTTTATCTTTTTTCTTTTTCTTTGGATGGAAAAATAGTAGAGCATTCAAGACAGTATGATAGGTCCTGGAGCTTATATTTAGTTTCCAAAGTATGCCATCACCAAAAGCCTGTAACTTAAAAATCTTGATATTGTTATGGGCTTGAAGCAATACTTAGAGCTCTTAATCAAGAGGAATAGTAGCGCAAAGCTCCACTAAAACATCTGTGATTTTTTTATTTTTCCATAATTACTTAAAAATTTAGACATCTTGTCCTTTAACGAAAGTATGGTAAAAAAAAAAAAAAAAGGTTCTTGAGACAGACAGGCTTAAGGGTGTGCCTTAACCCCTCCTACTCACTGAAAAAGACTCGAGGAGCATGAGAGGAGTTTGTTATGGGGTTCTAGTTTGAAAGTACAGAGTTTTATTCCTGTGTGATAAGAGTTACTGTTAGAATGAACAGGTTTGCCCAAGGAAACATCACTGTACAATGATCAGACAAGGGCTGAAACTTGAGCCATTTGATCCAGAGTTCAATGCAATTACTACTAAGATACCATGTTTCATTTGAACAACCCCTCCTTTAATAAACTCTCATCATAGGTGTTGAAGATGAGATCTTTCGTCTACATCGTTACTTATTTTTCGTGATGAAGAATGATGAGACTTTTCCACTTCTCTTTTGGTGTAAAGAAGTTTTAGGGTTCTTTTTATAAGCCTAAATGTATGTTGAATACAATGATCAAATCTCGAGTATGAAAAAAATGCCATTTCAAGTCTACCGGAAGTTAAGAACTGTTTGTACCTCATTCTGTTGGCCTTTCTCCAGAACAAATATCGGGAAACAGTGCAGGACCATTCATATTTAGGATTACCATTTATTATCTTTACTAGTCGCGCTTAGAAATAGGCCCATCACTTCTAGGAGTTGGTCGTGCTGTTACTTAATTGAACAGTGTTTTAATCTATGCAAGATTTACCGGAAATGCTTTATGACCGGATATGGTTTTCTTTTAAATACAAGAACACTCTTAACCCAGAGAGCGCATGAGTAACGAGACAAAACGCTGACTCAAAACTGTCTGGCTTGATAACATGGCGATTGTGCATGAGTGACTTCCTTTGTAGAAAGGGTGAAAAAAAACAGTATGGAGAAAGCTGATATTTCTTTTGTATATCCATTTTATCTATAACCTTTTTCTGGAGTCGAAATATCTTTTACAGAAAGTCATGAACAAGCCGGCGACTCGTGTATGTACACGCACAACTCTGTTCTTGTTGGGATTTTTCCAATACCTCAGTAATTCCACTAAATAGGCGAAAGTGTTTTTAATTTTGTATTTTCCAGCGTTTTCTTTGACAATTTTTTCCTACTGATGTGAAAGCGTTTCGTTTCGAAAAATTTCTGTGAAATACAGAATTTTTGCTTTACTTCAAAGAGGGTCGTACCACTGGTTCACGACTAGAGCTACTGAAAGTAGAACAGTATTTCAAAATATTCATGTTTGGATAAAGAAGTTAACTTTTGAAGGTTCTAGCTTCAACTCAGTATGATTATTTTATCATTAATACGGTAATGAGACGTGTAGTTTAGCGTTTTACAATCGAAAGAACGTGACTTATCGTGTTTGCTTGTTTTTTCCTGTTTTAGTGTAGTATACGTTTCTAACTTAAGATCTAAGTGAGTTTGAAAACTAAATTTAAGCTTGCATATGATCATATTTAGGGACGTAAGAGGAAGAAGAGAAGTACTGGATGTTCATCTTTGGATGAAATATCCCCTTCAGTGTCTCCAACTGAGAATGAATTTTCTCTTCTTCCAAGTGGTACCCGAGAAGAACAACAAGGGGAAACAAATTCTCAGGTAATGATAAGTGTCATTGAATAATCTGCAACATCACAGTCAATTTGCCACCGCAACAAACTCACCACCACAAAACTCGCCACCACTGAAAGTCAAATTGCCACATGTGGCAATTTGACTCTTTTGTTATGTTTAGCCTGTTGTATTAAACTTACGTTGATTGAAAGCTAAGATGTCATAAAACTAAAAAAATGAGTAAACAAACTAGGCTTTCATATGATATCAGTTTCTTTAAGTCTGATTACGAATTGTTTTTGTAAGGACAAAACTTATGTTAAAGGTCACAAAAGCAAGGATGTTAAGTCCGTTTCTGCAAACTTCACTGTATTTGTGTGCGCTCTTTGTTGCAATATACTAGTACTTTTTAGCCTTTATTTGATGTAATTTTCATACAATTAGATAAACATTGCCATTTGCCATTTCATTTGAGGTTTCTCTCATTAAAATGGAAAGTCAAGTCCAAGTTGACCCATGTTTCCTATAAAATCCTGGTCCAGAGGTTCTTATAGGCATGATTATGCATTATTACTGGTTTTTTTTCCATGCTGCATTCTTACTGTCTGTAGCTAAGTAATCCCCATCCATTTGAAAGTGGCAGACCATGAAATCTCTATTTGACAGCATTGAAACCCACCAGTGAGTGGGTCGAACTTCCTTTTTTCCTCTATTGGTGTTTAGATGGGTATAAACAGCTTTTGAAGAACAACACTTCACAGGTTAATAATAGGTTTTCATGTCTTAAACTCAGGTTAAAAAATGAATTTTATAAAGGTAGGCTACAATTCATTAGAGTAATCAAACCTTTGAAAATAAAATTGAAGAAGTGCCATAAAGGTAGCAAATGAGAAGAGCAGATATCTCCTCAGCAGCAAGCAGATACCAGAGCAACCCAGGCTCAGCTTCTCTCCTTTAGACACCTGTCAACACAGCGCTGGTAAGCCAGTGTATGTTTTGAGTAATCACAGGCAGCCCAAGCTCCAGCTGTGAGATGATCATCATGTGCAATAACAGTCATGGCGGAATTATAAGAGTTTGTATGGGAATATTTACAACCACTCTGAGGAATAAAATAATATGTCAAATTCTCAAAAAAATACCTCACCTTACTTCCACAGTGTATCACTTGTTATCTTACTGCTTACTTTGATGAAAAGGACACATTTTAGCGAGTTGTCTATTTCAAGGTTTTCAACATTCATAAGAAAAGCCCAAGGCTGAACACTCCATTTCCAAATACTTCATCCGAGAAGCGAAAAATCCAAGCTCAAAATGACCAGGCGGACGCAAATCCAACACAGAATCCAAGCACATATACTGTAGTTTCATTTCAATTCACTAAAAACTCAATCTTCCCTGTGCAACTGACACTAAGCTGCAGTTTGCTTCAAGGCTATTGTTTCGATTGGCTTACAAATCTGTGATAATTTTAGTAATTCTCTTTACCGTCTGCCTTGCAATTCTCATGATGTTAGTTCAGAGAATATGGTATTGGATCACCTTATAATCCCCTAGTTTATTTTTTCCTTTTTTTATCATAACTGCTCACTTAAAATTGTATTGATATTGTAAGGAACATTCTGTCTTGGTTACTCATGAGAGTTAAAAGATTAAACTGCTCATTTTCCAGGCTTGACATAAAGGAATTTTTCTTCTTCTATTGATAGGAGGAAAGTCTTTCACATGTAAACAAGAGAACAAGAAATGACAATGAAACTGAAGAAAGTACAAGTCTTACAGAGAACAATACTAACAGTGAACCAGCTAATGAAGAGCCTCATTCTGAAGAAACTGCAGCAGACAGAGAACCAATCAGTGTTGAATCACCCACAGAATCACACTCACCAGATGATGTTACAATTATTGGTGACATGCGGGTTGCAAGGCCAGAAGTTATTGACTTAGATAAACTTCCAACAATAAGAAGAGGTACAAAGTTCTGTCATTTCCAAGAAATCAAATGTATGAAGTGTCCCACTTTTTTTGTCACAAGGCAGAACTGGCATTACTGGTTAAGACAATATAAGGGGTTAACTTATAATGGTATGTGTTTGACTTTTTTTAAAAGGTGGCTCAGTAGTGGTTGATTTGACTAATGACTCAGGTTACCATCACAGTAATGTGGTAGATTTAACCAGAGACAGTTCGACAGATTCTTCTATTGATTCCAGTCCTGTTATTGTGGTGAGTAATTACTTTACTTGAGTTGATTAAAAAACAGCTCTTTTCTCTAATATTGTGAATAGAGTCACAACAAAACTTCTGGGTTGGGAGAGAATTTTACCATTGAAAACAAAGACTTTTATTTTGAATTATATTAGAGGGCTACATTTTGATCATAGCATAAGCTCTGATTTGCTTTTGATTTATCTTATTCATTAGTTAAAACAAGTCCACCAACCTTTTTTAGACTACATGCAGGTGTATGCTACTGCTGTAATTTTGAACAATTATTAACTTCTGTAAATTTAAGTGTGCAAAGTATGCAGGATTGTTACTGGGTTCTTCACTGTGTGTGTAAAGAAAAGCCAGACATCTTCAGAATTATTATAAATGACAGGCAGAATTTCAAATCTCTTGATATATGATTCAAATCAATTTCCCCTCAGTGTGTAAATAGAATATACCGTGGAGATCCAGCAATGGAACTGCCATCTTGTCGTTTCTCACATTCGGGTGTGCTGGGCAGAACTTTATCCGACACAGATGATGATATATTAGAAGTAGCAGAAAGCAATGAAGCAAATGAAGAGAACACAAGTGGAATAGAAGCTTCAACGTCAAATAGTGAAGATCCAGCAGGAAAAGTACCTTCTAAGAAAATATGTTGTCCTATCTGTTTGGATGATGAAGAAACAGTGAGTAAAAAGAATTTGACCTGTTTGATTAGTACCTTCAATTTTTTATACAGTAAAAATCCTTTTTTTTTTTTAGAACAACATTATTGGCTTCCCAGTCCCATGAAAAAATGCAAAAAGAATCATCAAGTGATTTTTTCAAAAAACTATATGCTTTTATTTTGGTTTAGATCATTGTGGTTTCTCAAATTATGTTTTGTGATGGTTAAATTTTTTTTTAATTTTTCTATTTTCAGATTAAAAGGAGGAAGAGAAGATTAATGTCAACAAATTGCGGACATGTTTTTTGTGACAAATGCATAAGAAGTGCGGTTCAGATGCAGAGTAAATGCCCAACATGTAGAAAAAAACTGACTTTAAGACAGTTTCACCCAATATTTTTATAATTTATATTATTAGGAATTTACTGGCACTACCTCAGCATCGATTTGTAGCTACAAGATAATTGTGTCACACCTTGTCACTTACCTTGCATCTCATCTTAAATGACAGCATTTGACAAATTGAATAAACCCAGCTTAACTGTTACTTAGAACAAAATACTACAGTTGAAAATGATCATTTTTTTTTATATTTAAGAGAAACTTTTCTGAGCTCACGAGTATCTTGCAATGCATAAATGTTTCCTTTGTAGATGTATCACAGTACAGTCTGAGATGGGACCAGTATTAGAGACAAAAAGCATTGATTTGTTGAAGGACCCTAGCTAAAGGGGGTTTTACTTTAGTTGAAAATTGCAATGACAAAAAGAAGCTCTGGTAGAGAAATTTAGAGGTTGTTATGCCTAGTGACATAATTTGTAAAAAGGGAAAAATAGAGTAGTTTTAGCTATTAACAAATAATTTAATGTCAAGATTTGCTAGGAATGAACAGACATAGAACTCTCCGACACCTGTGTTGGAAAAATTGTATTTAATAAGTTCTTGAGGTCTTTTACACTGCTACTAAAACAACCGGTTTGATGCTAAATATGTTTATTTAGGTTTGATATCTGGATTAAAGTGTTTCAGGTTGTGTTTGTTTTAAGATTCCATTTATCTCCTTGGCTTATGCATACCTGCAGAACTTCTTCCCAATTGCTTTTCAAATTGAGCGAAAGATGCTGTTGTTACTTGTTTCCAATAAGCAATCCTAGTCAACTATTTCCAGTGCGCACAAAGTGCAGACGATATGTTTTCCCCACTGGTATGTAAAAGAAAAATTAATAGCTATAGGCTGTCAGTTAGTGACCTCAGCATAAGTAATAATGCCGTTGAAGTATATGTGAAGTTTTCACTCCGTTTTCGCTTTGATTTTTGCAACGTCCTTCCTATTGTGATTTCGGATTGACTCTCAGACTGCAAGCAGTTCCTTTTAGTCAGAAAAGAACATCGATGTCAGCGCGCTGAATATGCAGTTATTAGATGATTTGCTCATCACTTTCTTTGTCTGACCATCACGTTAACTTGGTGAATGAACTGTACGTTAGTTAATTGAAAGGTAGTTAATCTCGTGTGCTCTGTTTTGTTTCGTTTTTCATTTTTAGGCTAGTATCTTGCGCGTTCTGTCTTTGTCTTTGATTGTTGTTGTTTTTTTTCCGTTAGTTTCTCTTGCGCTCAGTTCCTTGTTCCATTTTTTATGTTTGTAAGATTTCCCTTTAATTGAGTTAGACCCTCATGCGTTTTCTTTTGATAGGCTGGTTACAAGTGCGCCCTTATGTGTTTGTTTCGCTAGTGACTTGTGTATTCTGTCTTGTGTTATTGTTTCTTTAGTGACGCGCGTAAACTGTTTACTCTTTGATTCTTAAGTAAGTGACTTTGATAACCTCCATTGTTTAATCGGTGCGTTAGTGACGCGCACGTTCTGATTTGTCGAACGTAAGTTCGTGACTAGCTCAATTTTTTGTTTGATTGTTACGTTTGTGACCTGTGCACTCTGTTTAGTGTATTTTGTTGCGTAAGTGACTCGTGCATACATTTTATCGTTTGCTAAGTGTTATGTCCTTGCATGCACTGTTCTGTGTTCGATTATTGCGTTAATGACCCGCCCACGCTGTTTTGCCTATGATTGTTGAGTTAGTGACTCCCGCATGTTATCTCGTGTTTGATTTTTAAGTTTGACTTTGATTCTTATGTAAGTGCCTCGCCCACTCTGTTTCGTAATTGATTCTTTGTTAGTTTGTGGTTCGCGCACTCAGTGTAGCGTTTGATTGTTACGCAAGTGACTCTCACACTTAAGCGTTTGATTGTTATGTTAATGACTCGCACTCTGTTTAGCGTTTGATCGTTACGATAGTGACTCGCGTACTCTGTTTTGTGTTTGATCGTCATGGTAGTGACTCGCGCACTCTGTTTTGTGTTTGATTGTTACGTTAGTGACTTGCATACTCTGTTCTGCGTTTGCTTGTTACGTTATGGACTTACACACTGTTTTGCGTTTGATTGTTACGTTATGGAGTTGCGCACTCTGTTTTGTGTTTGATTGTTGCAGTAGTGACTTGCGCACTCTGTTTTGTGTTCGATTGTTACGTTACTGACTTGCATACTCTGTTCTGCGTTTGCTTGTTACATTATGGACTTGCACACTATGTTTTGCGTTTGATTGTTACGTTATGGACTTGCGCATTCTGTTTTGTGTTTGATTGTTACGTTATGGACTTGCGCTCTCTGTTTTGCGTTTGATTGTTACGTTAGTGACTTGCACACTCTGGTTTGTGTTTGATTGTTACGTTAGTGACTTGCACACTCTGTTTGCGTTTGATTGTTACGTTATGGACTTGCGCACTCTGTTTTGCGTTTGATTGTTATTTTACTGACTGGCACACTCTGTTTTGTGTTTGATTGTTACGTCTTGGACTAGCACACTGTTTTGCGTTTGATTGTTACGTTATGGACTTGTACATTCTTTTTTGTGTTTGATTGTTACGTTAGTGACTTGCGCACTCTGTTTTGTGTTTGATTGTTACGCTAGTGGCTTGTGCATTCTGTTTTATGTTTGATTATTAGGTTATTGTCTCGCACATTCTGTTTTGTGTTTTATTGTTGGGAAAGTGACTCGCACACTGTTTTGTGTTTGATTGTTACGTTACTGTCTCGCGCACTCTGTTTTGTGTTTGATTGTTGGATCAGTGACTCGCGCACTCTGCTTTGTGTTTGACTATTAGGTTAGTGACTCGCACGCTCTGTTTTGTGTTTGATTGTTACGTTATGGACTTGCGCACTCTGCTTTGTGTTTGACTTTAAGGTTAGTGCCTTGCACACTCTGTTTTGTGTTTGACTGTTAGGTAAGTGACCCGCGCGCTTTGTTTTGCGCTTGACTGTTAGGTTAATGACTTGTGTACTCTGTTTTGCGTCTTACTGTTAGAGTAGTGACTCGCGCACTCTGCTTTTTGTTTGACTGTTAGGTTAGTGACTCGCGCACTCTGTTTTGTGTTTGACTGTTAGCTTAGTGACTCGCACACTCTGCCTTGTGTTCGATTGTTACGTTAGTGACTCGCGCACTCTGTTTTGTGTTGGACTGTAAGGTTAGTGCCTTGCACACTCTGTTTTGTGTTTGACTGTTAGGTAAGTGACCCACCCGCTTTGTTTTGCGCTTGACTGTTAGGTTAATGACTTGTGCACTCTGTTTTGCGTCTTACTGTTAGGTTAATGACTTGTGCACTCTGTTTTGCGTCTTACTGTTAGATTAGTGACTCGCGCACTCTGCTTTGTGTTTGACTGTTAGGTTAGTGACTCGCGCACTCTGTTTTGTGTTTGACTGTTAGCTCAGTGACTCGCACACTCTGCCTTGTGGAGTCGATTGTTACGTTAGTGACTCGCGCACTCTGTTTTGTGTCGGACTGTAAGGTTAGTGACTCGGGCACTCTGTTTTGTGTTTGTCTGTTACGGTAGTGACTTGCGCACAACCCTCAAGAGTTTCAGGTACAAATCCGTCTCGTCCATTCTAGCGCTGTACGGAATATTTCGGGATTGGAATCCGCTATCGTTGCACTTTGCGTAACAGAAATATCTTTGAAATTGACGGAAATACTAACTGAATAACACATTCCTAATTCAAAGACCTTGTTTACGTATACTTTCGGTTGCATCATGTACCTCTCATTTTCAGTCAGTGATTTCCACACTTTTAAAGCAGCCGGGACTACATGAGAAACTGTTGAGCGAGAAAAGGAACGTTTTATTATTTTAACCCAGTTATTGCATCAGTGAATCGTTACTTGCAGTGCAAGATTGAGAAGATCTGAAAAGGAGGTTAAGACGGGGTGGGTGGTTGGGTGGTTGGGTGTCTCAGTCTCTCCATTCTCAGGTTCTTATCCCTCAGGTCTTGCAAGGGGCGCTCCTTAAGTGACCGCTATTCGATGACATTGCAGTGGCGTGTACATGCCTTAGAACTTAATAAAGCCCCTCTTTTTGGTAACATGAAACATAATTTGGCCCACACGTAAATGGAGTCAAACAGGTATATCAAAGAGAGTTTATTTACATTAACCTCTTGCAAAATATTATTTATAAAAGTTAAAGTTTCATCTGTGAATTCTTCTTGACCTTTGCAAAAATAAATACACTACATCCAGCAAAAACAAACAAGCAAAAATCACGTGCTTTAGCTTTGCATAATGTACAAAAATAGCCTTTTGCGTTAGAAAAATACTACAAAGCCGTGTTCACCTAAAAAATATTTCACACCTTTGCAATATGACAATATACTGAGTGAACTCAAATTTTCACCATCATAAACGGTAGAAAGTTGGTCCAAACTCTGCTAGAATGTATACAACACAAACTGACTTAAAATATAATGTTTGGTAATTCTACGGGGTAGCAATCATGAAAATGTAACATAGTTGTAACATTAGGAATAGTTATCAACTGAACCAGCCCTTGAGAAAGAGTTGCTCGTATATGTTGTGGTTTAATTTCGCTTTTGGTTCAAATTTTAGCTTCCTCTGTAGTCCCTGTGATAGTGTACGATGACAAAATTGACGGAAGGAAAATGAACTTTGAACCAAAGACAAATTAAACCATAACACATCAATAAGAAAATCGTAATTAATCAGGTTTTAATGTAAAAAAAAATCAAGCAAAATCGCATTGTGGAATTAATAAATTATAAATTTTACAAGCAATTATCTCTTGCTATTTAATTTCATTTCTAATCGATGAAAATTAAAGCCTTTATCTCACACTGCAACAAACAGCAACCTTATATTCACAAAATTTACAATGAAAATGAGAGAATGTCATCAAAAATTGACCATATAACACTTTTAACACAAGCCCTTGAAAGGGAAAGGGTTTTATATGATTAATGTTTCCTGGGTCCAACAATGAAGTTCTAATAGGTGACCTGTAGTTTGCGTCTTTTTCAAACTACCGTGATAATGTAATTTCTGGAAGATGTATGATGAGTTCAGAATGCCGAAATAAATATATTTACAATGCCAGCAGAAATGAAAGCTTCCTAAAAAATTACACTGTTAAAGCCTTAGGTGAGACTACTGAAAACAGAGGGTTTCAGAGCTGCTAATGAATGTGAGTACCTCCTGAGTTAACAATTGAATCAGACCAGCTGATTATTCTAAAAAAGAGTATTCAAAATGTGTAATTTAACACCATGTCAACACTTAAGCGTGAAATTCCCACCTCGGTGGAAAGATAACATCGTTAACTACATATTAATATCAATGAAAACTTAGCATCTACACTTGAAACAGCCCCACACATGCTGCTTGCAAAATAATTACTTTTTAAACGAGTGGATATTTATCAACAAATCATTAAAAATTTCACTTTTGTAATTCTGCGTAAATTTTGAATCCTAGCATCTTAAGAGAGAAATTCTGCAGGAGTGGCTATTTTTGAGGACTTCAGAGCACAAGGAATGATTTGTGTAAATTATGGTAGATGCTCTTCTAGTGAAGTAAGTATGGTTTTTTCCCCTATCCAAACATGGGCTTCTGTTACAGTTTTTTCTCAAGTCCTTGTTACCAGAATGGTCACTTAAGTAAAAGAGTATAATGGGTAATTGGTTCCTTCTGGTGTCCTTGA